TGACGACCAATTTCTATATGTAATTTGTGTGAACTAAGCCTAAATCTACTTATTGCTTGTCTGTAATTTTTATTTTGTATATCTAAATAACCCTCTCTTTCAAAGACATTTTTGAATGTTATGTAAGTTCTTATCTGGAACAAAGAACCCACATTAATGTTACCCTGCACACATGTAATACCTTGAACAAAGAATCCACATTAGTGTTACCCTGCACACACGCAATACCTGGAACAAAGAACCCACATTAATGTTACCCTGCACACATGTAATACCTGGAACAAAGAATCCACATTAGTGTTACCCTGCACACATGTAATACCTGGAACAAAAAATCCACATAAGTGTTACCCTGCACACATGTAATACCTGGAACAAAGAATCCACATTAGTGTTACCCTGCACACATGTAATACCTGGAACAAAGAATCCACATTAGTGTTACCCTGCACACATGTAATACCTGGAACAAAGAATCCACATTAGTGTTATCCTGCACACATGTAATACCTGGAACAAAAAATCCACATAAGTGTTACCCTGCACACATGTAATACCTGGAACAAAGAATCCACATTAGTGTTACCCTGCACACATGCAATACCTGGAACAAAGAATCCACATTAGTGTTACCCTGCACAAATGTAATACCTGGAACAAAAAATCCACCTTAGCAGTTGGTTTCAGTAACTTTGTGTACAAGAGGCAGATGCAGGCCTGTCAACTGTCCCGCAATTTGCGTATTTGTCACGCATTTGCTGAAGAATTTGAAGTCACGCCAGTTATTTTTGCATGACAGAAAATGTCACGCAAATACGCATTTTACTTTTCTAAAAAAGATCGTCTACATAGCAAAAATACGAACGACGGCAAAAAATGCACGCATTACGTTCGGACTTTTCACACGAATTACGTATATGTCACGCATTCCGTTCGAAATTTTTCGTACGTACGCCCCCCCCCCCCCCCCCCCCCCCCCCCCCCCGTTGATGGATGTTTGAAACGCGAGCGTAGCGAGTGCGAAAAATTTGAGGTGTTCAAAATTTGGCAAGATGTAATAAAATTTAAACCAAGGTGTTCAAAATTTGGATCAGGGTGTTCAGATTTGGACCAAGGTGTCCACATTTTGAGGGGAGGTGTTCAACATTTCCAAGTCACTCATGTTAGGTGTTCCCAAGTTGACAGGCCTGCAGATGAGAAATACAAGAGGCGGCATTCAAATAACCAATTTTACGCTCCTACAATGCAAATTCTTGTTATTTTAGAGTCAATGGACTGAAAGAAAGATGTCCAAGGTTTGTCAAAGTCATTTCCACGCGTGATGTGGCAAGACATGGGCTCCACAAAATAACATCATTAAATATTCAAAATTCAGTCAAAGTGATGTCATATTTGAAATCTACATGTAAAAATTCATCTAAAAATATGGTTTCGAAAATTGTTTATCAACAAAAAAATTTAATATTTTTTGAAAATGTGACTTCTAGTTCGGGTTGATTCCCCATAGACCCCATATTACAAAATCACAAAAAGTGAAATATCTTTTCTTGTATTGGACATTTTCTTTTACTGGACATACTTTAATTTGCATAACTATTCGATACATAAGGGCTATATGAAAATTGAACCACTAAAACCTATGTAATTAAAGTTAAAGGGAACTTTCTACTATACCCGCCATGCTATCTGACCCGAGCGAGCCACCTGGTGGTGAAACTGGTAACTACCTACTCGCATTTGCGTTATTGAACACTTTTGATATAAATCAAAATCATCATTATTAAATCAAAATCATCATTATTAAAATGAGAGTGATGTATTAATAGATGATTCACTTGTGATTATGTGTATATCGGATTCATTTTAGTTTTTTTACCACCTCCAGAGGGTACAGGGTGTTCCAAAAGTAACAGGACTGGTGCTGGTATTTTGTTAAAAAATATACACCAATAGTCTTCAAAATTTTACATAATGAACCTTCATGTTTTGTAACTAAAATTGCCGAATTACATAATTTTTGTCGAAACTGATTTAGAAATGGGCCGATGACTACTCATCGGCCGGTGTCTGGCGCATATGTGGCCTAGGCATTAGAGAGACCGAGGTGGGAGATATCCCCTTCCCCTCTACACCAAACTTGTTCTCACTAGGTTTTCGAAAAATTGCCTGAAAGGCCTCCTCACACATTATTAAGGAAAACATATCTACACATTTTGCGCATTTAACCATTTGATAACATATTGTGGATCTTATCTTAATTTGTTAATGTGAATTTGCACTTTAGAAAGCTGATGTTTGGCTAAGCTTCGAATTCCAAATTGAACAGTCTACTAAGAATACCATGTTGTAAATATTGTTTTCTTTATAATATGTCGAGCTAGGACTGCTGAAACAAATTCGCCTTTTGTAGCTACAAGTATTTAATTTCAATAGATGATAAACTTCTCAATATAAGAAATTACCCTCATAAGACATTGTTGCAAGGTGTGTTGCAATGAATGTGACATCCCGTATTCTCTAAGAAAGCCATCATGATAAACCATGTCATCTCATTTCTTCTCAGCCCTGTGTTTCAGGTGAAACAGAAAGATGCTATGAGTATCCGAATGGAAGAAAGCATATATTTGCATTGATGGTGTATAGATAGTTATTTTATATAGTGTTTTTAGTTGTACGTGGAAACCTATTCTAACCAGGAAGGATATTGCAACTTTTTTAAAGATCCTAAAGTTGCAATTTTCGTTATTGTGTTTCATTGTAAAGACGCACATGTGAAAGTGTGTCGCTGGTACAAAGGCGTAGTTCTAAATAAATTTAAGATACACGTTTTTTAAACTTGTACGTGAACGTGTAGAATTATGGACCTGATGGATTTTTTCTCCCTTTTGTACTGTTAATACTTGGCCGGTTGAGTATACAAGTGAGGGGTCAAATCTCCCCCCCATCCACACATACACTTTTTATCATGCTTAAGTAACTTCGCATTGTGGTGTTATAAACGAGACACCAGGATGATAAGGTAGGGGTACAATATAGGGCCCAAATCTTGAGAAAGAGTCGAAGGCATGCGTGGCGAATCCTGGAAACTCGGGTTCGGGAAAGCGGGGTCCACTGTTTGGTTCCATTGACACCTGTGCGAAACTACATTCATAATTTATCCGACAGTCGCTTTGATAATGTTTCTTTATCTCGTCTGCGACTCGATAAAGAAGAATTATGAAAGCTCATCAAAAATGGACGATCTTGCACAGGTACTCATATAAGAACCTCTACAGTGCATAAAAAAAAAACGCAACAGATTGTTATCTCGGAAAAGCACAAAACCAGTAATAACAGCATTGATTTCATTCAATGCACCATAAAGCCATGTGTCTCCTCTTTACAATGATATATCATTCATTGATATTTGGTCATGGTTGGGCGAGTAATCATTCTATTTGCAAAGTGGGCCAGAATTAGCTTGGGGTGTACGGAGCCGATGCAATATTGGAAGAAAACATAAAACCAATACTGACTGCATCCTTTTCATTCAATGTACCAAAAAGCCAAGTTACTCCTCTTTGCAATCGAATATCATTCATTCACAGGGAGTCATGGCTGGCCGAATAATCATTAATTTTGCAAAGTGGGGCAAAATTCAGCTCAGACTCAACTTTCAAACATTGCAAAAGTCAGTACAAGGGGCATAGGGGCTATTGGGAGAAGGTGTGACAGGTGTGGCATAGACAGTAAAGTGTTCATACTCTTGCAAAAATACATCCTATACCCCTCCAAATTGCCACCATTTCCTTCTTATAAATATGCACTCATCTGTCTACGCCATGCATGGTTCAGCCCTGAGTCATCTGTGGGTTAAAGCAGAGAAAAGCAGCCCATGGGCAATTCTTTCTCGAGGTTTTGTAATATTTGCAATATCTGGTAAAGGAATTGTGAGCACAGATGCTTCTGAGATAGCTCCAAAAGAAAAACTCACAACAATTCAAGTCAGGGGAACTTCCATTGGCACTTAGCCCTTGCACTGATTTTTGCAATATCTAAAACTTGGTGCAGAGCCGATTTTGACCCACTGTGCAAATGGAAGGGTTTCTCACCCAACCATTACCACATGTGAATGAATGAATGACATATCATTGCAAAGAGGAGAGACGTGGCTTTATGGTACATTGAATGAAATTGATGTAGTCATCACTAGTTTTGTGATTTTATGAGATAACTACTTGTTGCGTTTTACGTTGGGTAGGTACGGAAAATTTACACATGTAATACCTGGAACAAAGAATCCACCTCAGTGTAACCCTGTACATAGGTAATACCTGGAACAAAGAATCCACCTTAGTGTTACCCTGTACACACGTAATACCTGGAACAAAGAATCCACCTGAGTGTTACCCTGTACACTCGTAATACCTAGAACAAAGAATCCACCTCAGTGTAACCCTGTACATAGGTAATACCTGGAACAAAGAATCCACCTTAGTGTTAGCCTGTACACACGTAATATAAAGGATCCATTTTAAAACAAGTTTTGGCGTCTCAATGGATTCATTGAAATACCGAATGCTCCAGATCTGATGAAGCTGCCTTGTGTTAGATTCTCATCAAAACAGAAATAACTATGGCATCTCATGAGTAAAATTACGAAATTTGAAAACGGAAAATTTCCCTTCTACATCCTGGGGCTTGAACTACATAACATACATATGACAAGTATGAAACTTAAATAGATAGTTGAACAATAACATGCAACATTGGATTAGGCTTTGACTACATTATGGGGCTTTAACTACATAAAATACATATGGCTCTGTGAAACTTAAATAGATAGTTAATTAATAACATGCAACATTGGATTAGGCTTTGACTACATCTAGGGGCTTTAACTACATAAAATACAAATGGCTTTGTGAAACTTAAATAGATAGTTAAACAATAACATGCAACATTGGATAAGGCTTAAACTTCATATCCCGAGGCTCTAACTACATATTGTTTTACTTTACCTATAACTTTGTGTTGTGGATGTCTTAGTGCCATCATAATCGCATGGGCATCATCAATTCCTGCATCTGTATCTATCAGGAACATCTTTTCATCTGTGCTACCATCTACAATATACAGTAAACCATACAACAAATGGCATAATTATTGCTATTTAAAGTTATAATATCTCATAATAGAGCCTGTATGTAAATTACTTATTCTAAGAAAAATATATCCATATTCAATAGATATTTTTGAATTTAAATGTTAAGAATATCAAGTTAAATGTAAAGGATTCCTTTCATAAAATTGAACAGAATGAGGTGTAGTGTGTGTAGTCTCATTTGATTTGTCAATCCTTTTTACCAGTGCCCCCATTCAACCAGCAGCCATGGACTTAATAGATTGAAATCTAATCAAAGGATCGGAAGAATCGCACAAGTCTCTCCCAAATTGCATCGCCATGTTAGTAAACTTCTGTCTGGAAACTACCTATTTCTCCTGTGATGGTAAATTAACAGTGTCCTGGTGCAGCCATGCATGGTGTCGCCACTCTCCCATGGAGTATTGGCCAAGATTTACATGGAGAAGTCTCATGTGTCCCCATTCAACCAGCAGCCGTGCACATCATTCTTGATAGATTGAAATCTGACCACCCAATTCCACCTTTGGAATGCTAAGGAGTAATTTATCAGATACCATGTAAAAGTTCAGCCACATACACTGTACTACTTAGGTGAGACAAAATTCCAACAGCGCCACAAAGACTCCACAGGCCAATCAGCTGTGACTGAATAAGGTGGTCTTATGATCAACCTATATAGACTTTGACAATGTTTGAGTTCGTTGTAATGGGGACAATTTCCATAAAAGTAAACGTTCGAAGAGGCTATATAAAGATTTACCAACTAAAGCCCATTTCATTGTTTTATTGCGTCAGTAAAACTTAAAATCAAAAGATCATTGTGCAATAATATATGGAAAAATATATTCCTATTGTACATAAATGACATTTTGTATATCTTGGATTGCTTCTAGTTTGGCTAATAAAGTATGTGGTCTCTTATATTTTGATGCTTTGCCATAGTATTTTCAAAAAGATTAACATGGCTGAAATTCTTTAAATTACAAGAGGGCAAAGGCTTATTGCACAAAAAACTAAATAATCTGAAATATACAAATGTCATTCATGTTCAATATGACTATACTTTCCAATATATTATTGCAAAAAAAATGTCTATGATAGATGAACCTTCAGTTAGTAATAGTGAATTACCCTTTTGCAAGAATTTGACATCAATCCTTATTTGACCATGCTACAAATTAAATATTTATAAGCAAGAAAAACAGAAATCATAGATTTCTTTTCTTGCTTCTGACTGTTTCAAATTTCAATCATCTGAACAAAGCCTGGATGACAAAACAAGTCGCAGATGTAAATGACGTCATATTTCGAAGTTTATTTTTGCTCGTTTGATTTCACACGATTTTCTCGATCTATATGTGCTTCAAATCAACTCGATACTTTAAACATAAATAAATTATGGCTTTAAACTTTAAAGAAATTACTAAGACAAATTAACTAGTTCTGTTATTGTCCTGGATATTTTTCGGTATTTTAGCAGAACTTTATAAAATGACCTCAAAGCCGTTTATTGAACAACTTTTTGCTCTTCCCCTTTTCATCATGTAAAAAACTCGAGGATTTGTATGAAACATGTATTTCCTGTTTGCGGATCTAGCTTTTTCTTGCGATTTTTTTCACAGAATGGATTTACTTGTTGATGTAGAATATAGCATCAAATATTTATCCTCCAAGTGGGCTGTTGTACTTTGTAGTAAGGATGCCTAGTATGTACCAAGATTATCCATAAACTGACAATAAAAGAAATATATGCTTGTGGATTTACCTGCCATGTTCCTTATCCCAGACCTGGTAATAGTATATCTTCTAAAAATATAATTCTTTAATAATGTCTTCAGTTGTGAAAGTGCAAAGTGCATCTTCACACTAACACATTTCTGTCTGACCAGATAATATCATGTCACACACTGGCAATGTACACAAGGCCCTTATAAGTAATTGTATGTTAAGCAAAAGGCCCCTCCAAATAATTGCATGTTAAGCAGAAGGCCCTCCCAAGTGTTGCATTTGTGTCCAATCCAAAGGCTTGGATACAAATACATTAAATCATCCATCATTCATTAAGTAATGTGCTTAAATTCTTTTTAACCCTTGCAAAGGATTTTGCACAGTATCACTAAAAATAATGAAATATAACCAGAAACCTTTTTGAAGGGTATCACCATGTGAACATCTTTTGAATAACAAGGTTTGACCTTTTGACCTGCATATAAGCTCCTTCCTTGCTTTTCATTATGATATTATTTATTCATAGTTTTTCACTCAACTGAAATGAAATTTTGAAATTGATGTGGGTGTAGAGACCCTCCCTACACGTAAACTAATAATTATGCGAGAGTGTGATAGGTAATGTAGGGAAAACACAGTATAGTTTTGAAAACCCTTTTTGGATTATGGTTTTTGGGAATGAATTAAAACAAGTGATATTTTTTGTTGAATAATTTAAGTGTACTGAGAAATGACGGGTCCTTGGATGATAAATTGTTTGTTGTTGTTCTATTTTTGCCTGGTTTCTGCGAATTTAATCCTCAATTATGAAGCTCTGTTTTGGTGATAGTGGGTTCCTGGCTCTTGGGTGAAGTTCCTCATAAATTATATTTTATGAATCAGTGTTTGGCCTGACAGTACTGTCAACCCCCAAAGATTTTCTCGCGGGACAGATTTTTTAGACCCAGTGCCAAAAATTCGCGGGATTCTGCGGGACATCCGCCTAAATTCGCGGGATTTTGCGGGATATTTAAGGAATTTGCGTGATTGCGCTAATAGGTCGAATTTCGATCAAATTCGCGGGATTTCGCGGGACCATTCGAGGGACAAACACGTTAATTGCGAGACAGTTAACAGGGTAACCACCCTAAGACTTCATAGAGGGGCAATTTTTTTAGACAAAGTGCCCCAAATTTGCAGGATTGGCGAAACATCCACCTAAATTTGCGGGATGTCGCAGGACCATTCAAGGGATTTGCGTGATTGGGGCATAATGTAAAAGTACTCAAATTAAAATTTCAGATACTGATTTATCACATATAATGCACTTAACTTAAATAAACGTCAACACAATTCCACACAATACGCATAGAAATATTATTAAGAGAAACCACACTTGTGAGTACCGTAAACCAACATGAAATTCAAAAATTCTGAACAATACTTTGCACTTATGGCGTTCGTGACCAACTATGAAACATTTACCCCTCATCGTGTTATATATTAAAATGTACCTTTTCATATAGGGGTCCGGTACACCCCAGTTGTCCGAAACCCATTACTCCGAAAAATATAGTCATGATTTACCAGAGAAAGGGGGACGTACCAAGTTAAGCTTACGCCAGTTTCATGCCATGTATTTGGCCAAATTAATGGGATGGACGCATTCTGATGTCTATAGATCTCTCTCTCTCTCTCACTTAGAACTGCACCCATTACATGGTGCTACTAGAATGGCAGGAACGGGGGATTTATTTTCCATTGTGATCTTAAAGCGGTTATTAAAACACAATATATATTACGGAACAGTTTATCTTAACTTCTTCAATCTCTTTTTATAGGCAAAATAAAATGAAACATTTTGAAACAGATAAAATAAGTTAACGCATAGAACTTTAAACATAAAACAGTATACAATATTACGTTGTCAAAATATTTCGTCGCATTTAATTTCTTAGTCTCTGTCTCTTATCAAATCGTAAAAGAACAAAGCATTCTAAACCTAATCACTTGGAACTTGTTTTTCGGCCTTCGTTTCCGGCATTTGTTTTTTTATTTTCTTCTCCTAAACTGTATTTGCTTGACAATAATCAGAGAAAGAGCGTATAAGTATTTTTGCGTGGCATATTCTGTCACGCAAACAAATGGGTGTGACTTCAACTTCTTGTCTGTCTGAGGACGTATTGGGAACGAAGTAGAATTAAAGAATTTTATGAACGAGTCATGCAAGATACTAGAACTAGTAAAGTAATCTATTGGATAAGTTAATTTCTGAAGGATCTAGATAAAATATGTTTTGAACTTTTTTTGAACACTACATAACTACATTAGGCAGATATAGTATAAACACCAATGAAGAAATTCAGGGGATTCCCCGTGACTCACATACAGTGATGCGGTGAGAAACTCCGTATGTTGCTATAATGTTGTGATTCTTGATAGGAATGTGCTTACCCAGCATTCTGCGGGCCCACTGTAGTTTGAAAATACCTTTAAAAAATGTGTCCTTGGGTATTTTTTTATGGGGCAATCCTGTGAATATTTGCAAGGATAGCAATTTTGTGTAATTTCTGAGAAATATTTCCAAATACCAGGCCGCGACCGTTTAGTATAAATTGACCAGTGTACATGCTTTGATGTAACAGTTTTGATCGCTATCGGCCGGGGAATCAGCATAGTATAACAAGAAAAAGACATCTGGACTCGACTTGGGAGAATTTTTCACAACCACTGTATATTGTCTTCGAATACGCGTTATAATAGTACAGAACTGCAGAAAGGAAACCTGACTTTGGAGAGATTTTCCATGAGAAAATGACAACTGCACCTGTGAGGCTATTTGTGAGTACAAATTGATTGTTAAATCGTCAGATTGGAGTTCCCAAAAGAGACAATTAAAATATAGAATCATCATTACCGATATTAAGTCAAATTAAACTAAACCACAGAATAAGATTTCTATAGTCTATTAAGTTCAAACAATAAGGTTTGGAAGGAATAGAAGAGAGAAATTTAATTCAATTAATAACTTTGAAAGAGATTTTAACAGTCTATTTAGGTTCAAACATAGGTCGTTTGAATGACGGAGGCAGGCCTGTCAACTGTCCCGCAATTTGCGTATTTCTCACGCTTTTGCTGAAGAATTTGAAGTCACGCCAGTTTTTTTTGCGTGACAGAAAATGTCACGCAAAATACGCATTTTACCTGGTAATTGTCAAGCAAAAATATTTCTGTAGAAATTTTTTCGAAATATGTTTACGATACGGTAAAAATACGAACGCCGGAAAAAAACGAACGCAATTTGTTCGGATTTGTCACGCGAATCCCGTATGTGTCACGCATGTTCATTGGAAATTTTTTGTACCTACCCCCCCCCCCCCCCCCCCCCCCCCCCCCGTTGACGACAACGCGAGCGTACCGAGCGCGAAAAATTTGAGGTGTTCAAAGTTTGGCAAAGGTGCTTAAACTTTGGCCAAAGGTGTTTAAAAGTTGGCCAAAGGTGTTCAAAATTTGGACAAAAGTGTTCAGATTTGGACTTAGGTGTCCAACATTTTGAAGTCACTCATATTAGGTGGTCCCAAGTTGACAGCCCTACGGAGGTTTGAGAAAAGAAATAGAATAGCGAAATTCAATTGTTTCGATTTAATTAATATTTTGAAGTATAATTTCTATAGTCTAACTAGATTCGAACATAGGTCATTTGGATGGCAGAGGTTTGAGTAGAGATAGAAAGAGAGGAATTTTAATTAGTTTATGATTAAAATTGGATGATTACTCTGGGAATTTGATTGGCGATTGAATGATTAAATTGAAATTGTTCGTTCACTTGTACTTATTTTCGGCTAGAAGATTAGGCTATATATCGGAAAATCTGGGCTGATCAGCAATAAAGATTGATTATCATTGGTTTCTGATCTGTTCTCTATTTGACTGTTTAGTTCGAATATTTGAGATTTGAAAGAAATAGTGGAAAATATAAGGAAACTTTGAACGTGAATGTTGGATCGGGAAACAGTTATTTTATCAGTGCAAATATTTCTATGGTCTATTCAGTGCAGTCAGAGATCACTTGGTGTGGTAGAGGATTGTTAGAGGAATAGAAGTGAAACAATTGTCCCGCCGTTAATTCCATATTAATTCACAATTCACGTGTAACCGCTGGAGAGGAAAAGCAAGTAATGTTTTCATGTAAGAAAGAGTCGATCAATTAGCGTCCAATTAACCAGCTAATTTTGAGTGTTGTGGGTAATTTGTAATTGAGCTATCACTTAAACGGGATAATCGTAACAGCTGTTTTACGACCTGAGAACATTAAATCATAACAAACCGGCGTGGGCAGCGCTTAAGCTGGTGTTATTTGTTTTCCTTGGTCTAGCTAGTTTAGAGCTCCAATTCGTCATTGTGTAATTTATGAGTTTTGGTTCTTTGTACTTGTTGAAAACTCCTGTTTTCACTGTTCGGGTGTTTAGAGGAATTGTTGCATATGGGAATTAGACTTCTGAACGTGTGTTAAAATAAATAGGGTTGTCATTTCGAGGTTCCGAAAGTCATATTTAAAACTCATATTAGGCCTTTGGCGCTGTAAAAGGAATTTAGGAATTACATTATAGGAGGCGGAGTCAGACAAGGTGTTGATTGACTTAACAAAGGGTGAATCCTTAGGGTTTATTGGATGTTCAGGTCTGAGACTTGTCTTTAAAGGGATATTCCTTGCCAGACAATCTCTCTCCTAATATGGGAGCTATAACCATATACATACTTTGCAAGTTTATCAAAAAACAGAAAAATGTTTCGAAATTGTCAATATTGATCACTTAAAAATGTAGTGCTCAATTCCAGTAGGCTGCCATCTTTTAAAATTTTACTCAGGAAGTGATGTCATCGACTCTCAACTTTGCATATAACATTAGGTAAGGAGCTATCAGAATTACTAAACCAGCTGAATATTTTTTTCAATTTGGTCTATGATTAAAATCCTTTTGATGATCTCTTCTTTAGTTCTAAGTTGACAACTCCTGAAAATATTTTTACAAAGAAGATAAGGGCTTCTTTTTTAGAAGTGATTTTGTACTTTTTTCCTATACTGTAATAGATAAGGTTATAACAGGTGAGAGTCGATGACATCACTTCCTGAAAGAAATCTGAAAAGATGGCAGCTTACTGGGAATGAGTACTACATTTTTAAATGATCAACCATATGAAAACATTTTCCTGTGTTTTGCTAAATATGTAAAGTATATATATGATTGTAGCTACCATATCAGGAGAGAAATAGTCTGGCAAGGAATGTTCCTTTAAGCAGAGTACTTGTGCACTCCGAGTAAATCTTTCAATCAGCTGTTGGAATCATAGTGGTTGTTTAGGTCTTGGTTTAATCCTGTGTGGCTAGAAATTTAATACTTCCTGGCGTGTATAGAGGGCATAAAAGACAATACAGTTAGAAAGCTTACCACTCTAAGTTCAAGTTGACCTTTTGTATTAGTGAACGCTGTACATCAGTAGTATAAAAAGTATCCATTTGAAATATTTAATAGACTATAGAATTCTCGTTTGTAGTGAGTTATAAATATCACAATAATTAATCTGAGCAGTTATTTATAGATAACTGAAAGGCGTTTGATTGCATGCAGATTACGTATTTATTCATATAAAGTTAAACCAAATAAATTCATTATAGATAAACATTACCATCTTATAGTAAGTATCTTCAGGCTTAGTAGGCCTAGTGGGTGTTGTAGCACATTATTGTTGTTGCCTATTTATTTAATCCTTTTAAATTGGTGTGTAGTTTCACCCTGACTCTTCCGCCTTTAGAACCTGTTTACTTGTACCCTTTACTTAATTTAGTTATAATCTTTAGAATACGAGTTCCATTATCCATTTCCGGTCACGTTAACCAAATCTCGTATTTACTCCGAGATTAATATTCTATCTTTAGCACTGACTTGAGCTAGTATTCTATATGGGTAATAAATGACACTAATTCTAAATTAGCCATTTATTCTGTTGTTGTGTTCTGATTGGATTTTACATATCATGCCTATGTGTAAATTTATTTTTAAATACAAAAAAATCCTAAAAAGGCAAGAAAAAGGTTGGAAAGGGAGTTTTTTGGATAAACTGGCAGTGTAAAACAGTTAAATTGTAATGGCCTAAATATATGTCATGCATACTGTACTTTAACTGTATTTGAATATACACGGGTGTTAAAACACGAATATACCATGAGCACATGCTTTGACATGTTAGTAAAGTTCTGTCTGGAAACTACCTATTTCTCCTGTGATGGCAAATTAAAAGGGTCCTGGTGCAGCCATGCATGCAGGGGTCCCCACTCTCCCATGGAGTATCGGGTCTGCTTTACCCCTATGATATAGGAGGCTCCAAATGGTGAAAGCCAATACTTTGGTAATCGTTTACTTTTTTGTGCTATTGCATTATTTCATTTAGACATTAAAGTATATTAAACTTGTTTTAAAATATGAACAAATTAAAGGTACCTACTGATCAGTATCTTAATTTTAGGATTTAAGCCCTTGACTCAGTGCATTGTGGACTGAATCATTCCCTTGAAGGTGTTGTTTTCAAATCTTTGCATGACCACGGAACAAACAATGCCTGAGTGGAATGAGTCAGCCAAAATGCATCAAGTCTTGAGCTCAAATTTTTTTCACACATTGCAAAATATTTTTTACAAAATCATCTAAAATATACGAAGTCACTAAAAGAACATATTTTCAATGAAACTTTTTACAAGGGTCAAGTTGGCAAAGCATCAATGTCAATATGTAGAGTTAAGTTGTTATCTTGACAACCATTCAATGAGTGACCTTGGGTATGGTTATTGTTAATATAATGCACTGCAGTTATATGAAATACTGTGCTCAGATTGGCTGGAATCAGACACACCTTGCTTGAGTATGTTTGAATATTAAATCAAACATGTGCTCTGGTTGAATTTCTCAACCCCTCAGAATACAGCATAGCCTATATAGAATGTTCTCTAATTCTCCATAGATGCACGACTATGCTCTATTCATCCGGGTATCTATATATTGTGACATCACACCTATGAATGGCAAAAAAAGTTTGGTTATTTTATGGGCCCCAATCCCCAATTCTCCCCAATATTTTCATTTTTTATGTTTGAATCAGAATAAATAATGATAGGCCATTCAATATGGTGAAATTCTACAATCGTTGGACAGAATGTCAGTACAAATGCACTGTCCAACTTCACCATATTGAATGGCCTCTCATCGCTGCCACATCAAATTGCTTCTTGAAGGAGAAGCCTCTCATCAATGCTACATCAACGTGTCTCCTGAAGGAAAAGCATTTTATCAATGCCACATCAACTTGTCTACTGAAGGAGAAGCCTCTCATCAATGCCACATCAACGTGTCTCCTGAAGGAAAAGCATTTTATCAATGCTACATCAACTTGTCTACTGAAGGAGAAGCCTCTCACCAATGGCACATCAATTGGTTTCCTGAAGGAGAAGCCTCTCATCAATGCCACATCAACATGTCTCCTGAAGGAGAAGCATCTCATCAATGCCACATCAACGTGTCTCCTGAATGAGAAGCCTCATCAATGCCACATCAACTTGTCTCCTGAAGGAGAAGCATCTCATCAATGCCACATCAACGTGTCTCCTGAAGGAGAATCCTCTCATCAATGCCACATCAACGTGTCTCCTGAAGGAGAAGCATCTCATCAATGCCATATCAACGTGTCTCCTGAATGAGAAGCCTCATCAATGCCACATTAACTTGTCTCCTGAAGGAGAAGCATCTCATCAATGCCACATCAATGTGTCTCCTGAAGGAGAAGCATCTCATTAATGCCACATCAACCTGTCTCCTGAAGGAGAAGCCTCCCATCAATGCCACATCAACATGTCTCCTGAAGGAGAAGCATCTCATCAATGCCACATCAACATGTCTCCTGAAGGAGAAGCATCTCATCAATGCCACATCAACATGTCTCCTGAAGGAGAAGCCTCTCATCAATGCCACATCAACCTGCCTCTTGAAGGAGAAGCCTCTCATCAATCAATGACACTCCTTTATTTTTGATGGTTAATCAAGTAATTTTGAAATTGCAATACCTTTGACATTATTTCTGGATCACCCTGTTAGTCAAGTTGTGGAAAACATGTATGATTGAACGATAACTGAGGTCAAGGTATTCACCATGAAAGAATGCCATTATTAATCAAGATTATACAAATATATCAATATTCACACACAGGAATTTCGCGTCATAATTATTCCTCCGCTTGGTGCGCTGTTGTGCATAGCAACGTTCCATGCAACGTGTATAAACATCGCGCGGACGTATAAGTACAACCCATCATTTTTTCATGTTTGCAATGTTAAACTATGATTTTCTTTCATAATATATATTGTTAAATAGGCATGATACATATCATCGTATTTCTAAAGAATTGCTTATTTTAATCCTGTTTATTTCAAGTTGATAGGTTCAATATTAGTAAAGTTACGGCTTCACTATGGAGGGGTAATTTCTTCGTAAACTAAAAATTAGTACCGTGGGTACTGGGCTCACATGGTGACAAAAAAAAAACGGATATAATGTTTTGCTGATTTTTTGTAACAAAATTATTTCAAGCCACTTGCCACTATTTTGGACTGACTGAGAGACAGATGGACAAATCGATGTTAAGTAAAATGGCTGAAAAAAAAACGGATATAATTTTTGGCCAATTATTTGTAACAAAATTGTTTCAAACAACTACTCTTTACAGTGACATGGCTTTTTGCAATGCAAGACACCTGAAATTATTTGTAAAGCTAGGAAATGGGCCAAAATTAAATTTTGCGAGACAAAAATGGTGACCATTTTGAAATCAGGCAAGTTTTTGAACCAGGAGTCATAGGGGAGTTTTTTGTATTGATGTTGAACAAAAATAACTTGAAACTGGAATCCTATCGACAGAGGTTTTAAGCAAATGGTCCAAAAGAGGATTTTGCGAGACAGATGGACAAATCAATGTTAACTAAAATGGCTGAAAATAAAAAAACGGATATAATATTTTGCCAATTTTTTGTAACAAAATTATTTCATACAACTACTCTTTACAGTGACATGGCTTTTTACAATGCAGGACAGCTGAAATTATTTGTAAAGCTAGGAAATGGGCAAAAAGTGAATTTCGCGAAACAAGAATGGCGACCATTTTGAAAATAGGCGAGCTTTTGAACCAAGAGTCATAGGAGAGTTTTTAGTATTGATGTTAAACAAAATTAACTTAAAACGGGAATCCTATCGACAGAGGGTTTAAGGTAAATGGTCCAAAAGTGGATTTTGCGAGACAGATGGACAAATCAATGTTAACTTAAATGGCTGAAAAATGGATATAATTTTTCGCTGATTTTTCGTAACAAAATTATTTCATACATCTACTCTTTACATTGACATGGATTTTTACAATGTAGGACACTTGAAATTATTTGTAAAGCTATGAAATGGGTCAAAAGTGAATTTCGCGAGACAAAAGTGATGGCCATTTTGAAAATAGGCGAGCTTTTGAACCAGGAGTCATAGGGGAGTGTTCTGTGTTGATGTTGAACAGAAATAACTTAAAACAGGAATCCTATCGACAGAGGTTTTAAAACGTGCCACTGTTATTGACGGAAAGTGGATTTCGCAAGTCAGATAGACAAATCAATGTTAACTAAAATGGCTGAAAATAAAAAAATGGATATAATTTTTCGCTGATTTTTTGTAACAAAATTATTTCATATATCTACCATTTACATTGACATGGATTTTTACAATGTAGGACACCTGAAATTATTTGTAAAGCTAGGAAATGCACCAAAATTGAATTTCGCGAGACAATAGTGACGGCAATTTTTTGAAAATAGGCAAGCTTTTGAACCAGGAGTCATAGGGGAGTTTTCTGTATTGATGTTGAACAGAAATAACTTAAAACAGGAATCCTATCGACAGAGGTTTTAAAACGTGCCACTATTGTTGACGGACAGACATACGGATGGACGGACAGACGGACAAGTGAGTGATTGCAAAAGCTCACCATGTGAGCTAAAAAAAACGCATCGTTAGCAAAGATTTGACAAAAACACAACATTTTTGCGCCAGTGGCATTTTTTCATTTATGGATGAATCTTCATCAAATTTGAAACACGTTTGAGCTATATATGCAAATATATAAATATACAAATTGTGTCTTGTCCGAGGCAGAATTTTAAAATTACAATTAGAGAAAAAATAACTAATCAGTGTCAAGTTTTACCGCTGATTTTCGAAAAAAATATGATGTAATTCCTTATAGAGTTGGAAGAAAACGAACTGTTTAAACTGCACAGGATAAAAATATATTAATCCAGATACATGTAAGCTTTATATACAAATCATTACATACGTTAAAGGGGATCATCAACTACTAGAAAATCGTGTGTAAAGCTGGACAATATTTGACCCGAATTGACCGGCAAAATGGCCGCGCGCTCGCAGCGCCTCTAGCGGACGAGCCTTTATGACGCGAAATTCCCGGGTGTGATTTATATCATTTTCATGAAAGTGGGATATCACAGTTTTATAGGACAATGTACCTAACAACCACTATCCTTTATTACAAGCATACTTTATCTACAATGTACCTAACAACCACTATCCTTTATTACAAGCATACTTTATCTACAATGTACCTAACAACCACTATCCTTTATTACAAGCATACTTTATCTACAATGTACCTAACAACCACTAGCCTTTATTACAAGCATACTTTATCTACAATGTACCTAACAACCACTATCCTTTATTACAAGCATTACAAGCATACTTTATCTACAATGTACCTAACAACCACTAGCCTTTATTACAAGCATACTTTATCAACAATGTACCTAACAACCACTATCCTTTATTACAAGCATACTTTATCTACAATGTACCTAACAACCACTAGCCTTTATTACAAGCATACTTTATCTACAATGTACCTAACAACCACTAGCCTTTATTACAAGCATACTTTATCTACAATGTACCTAACAACCACTATCCTTTATTACAAGCATACTTTATCTACAATGTACCTAACAACCACTAGCCTTTATTACAAGCATACTTTATCTACAATGTACCTAACAACCACTAGCCTTTATTACAAGCATACTTTATCAACAATGTACCTAACAACCACTAGCCTTTATTACAAGCATACTTTATCTACAATGTACCTAACAACCACTATCCTTTATTACAAGCATACTTTATCTACAATGTACCTAACAACCACTAGCCTTTATTACAAGCATACTTTATCTACAATGTACCTAACAACCACTAGCCTTTATTACAAGGATACTTTATCTAAAGCAAGGAGCAATAAAAGCAAGAGATGAGTTTAGTTTTAAGTTTTCATAAATATTCTCTCATCATTCCAAAAATTAATAAATTAGATTCATTTATTTGATCAGAAATCTCAATTCTTGTAAGGGAAACATTGGCATGCTTTTTGAAGATTGCTTGTAAATCAATCATTTTACATTCCTCTGTCTTTTCTGGTACTTTTATCTTACCATTTATCTCATCTGACTATTGTAATTACTTAATAGGGATGGTGTCATGTTCAACAGTCATGGAAAACAGAGTAAACCTCATTATGGCTTGAACCCCATACCTCACCTTATCTAACAAAATTTAACATGTTGATTTGTCTTTTACTTGATTGTTAAAAATCAACACTTTACTAATGAAACCATCATTTACCCCCCCCCCCCCTTTATGGAACTAACTTTGTTATTCCAAAACGGCCTGTTTAATGATATGTTCATTTCAAATATGCAATCAAGAAAACCCACTTCAAAAAAATCAAAAGAGGACTGACTATTCTGAGAATCTAGAATTTCAGGATAGATAACTGGGATCTTCCAGAATCTTCTGAATGAGGTTAGTCTCTTGTTTGAAAGACAATCATATTAGCATGAAGTAAAATTCAGTTTTAAGTAAAATTTTCTGACTTGCCCTAAAGAGATTTTTAGTTTACACCATTTTGCTTGAACTGTTGATAAATTGACACCATCCCTTATTGAATTGATTAATTGATAACGTTACCTAAACTATTGTAATAAAAACATCTAATGGATATGGATTTACAATATCCTTTCTGCTATAAAATACAACAATTGACCTTTTTAAGATTGGTTGAGTAATACCATTAACCATGTGTTTGGTACAAGAAAAATACATATAAATGGTACCATGGGTACTGGGCTCACATAGTAAAAGTGCATTCTAGATATTATTGTAACCTTACACTTAGCAGCCTGTACAATTTGAAGCAAATCAATGTAAAACATTTGGGTTTGTAACATAAAAAGTGATATTTGAAAAAGAAAACTTGTGACACATTTTAGATGGAACTTGTAGACATTATTGTTAACTAATGAAATAAGGTACCTGTACAATTTCAAGCAAATTGATGGAATACTTTCAGAGTTATGACCAAAAAGAGGTGAAAGTATTAATTTTTAGTAATTATAGTGGCAGGCATTTTTTACGAGATATTTTGATGAAGTTTCTTAACAATATTGTTCTTGAATTTTAATAACAAGATATAAGTGATATCCACTGATGCCAGAGCACGCAAAATATAATCTAGCACTTTTTCAAATTGCAATAAAAAGTATGTTTTTGTGCAATATGAAACAATCATGTTGTTTGCTTGGCTCATCATTGTTCAATATTATAATTATAATGTGATAATGATGCCAATTAATTTGTTCCCAGAAAAGTTATTGTAAAGATCAATTTGGAATGTCATGAATATCAAATAAATCACCATTGCAAGTTTGTTTAGAATTTTAAACCGTAATATATTGACTTGCATAGCGTTGTAGTGACATATCCATTTAACATTTAAAATATCAATATAATTAAGTCAATGATAATATCACTGATGTTAGGATAAATGTATTCTCTTTGTAATGTCAGTTTCACAAGATTTAACGGAATATTTATTTTCCACTCCACGCTATAACATAGGAGCAATGATTTGACGAATGTTCAGCTTTAATAAAAAAAATTTATCTTTTTATTCATAGAATTTATTTTACAAATACATAAAGTACATAAATATTATACACTTGTAGTGGCTTTGCTGAGGGCATTATCAGCGCTTCCTGGTCAACTCAACCCCAAGTCAACTCAACCCAAGTCAACTCAACCCTTAGTCAAGTCGACCCCAAGTCAAGTCGACCCTTAGTCAAGTCGACCCTAAGTCATCTTGACCCTTAGTCAACTCGACCCCAAGTCATCTCAACCCTTGGTCATCTCAACCCTTAGTCAACTCGACCCCACCATAAAAAAACAAATAGATATACTATTTTCATGGTATGATATTGATGAATTTTGAAAGTATGAGGGACTAAAATGCTAATTTTCCAAAATAAAATTATCAACTATTGAAGTTTGTGCTTAACGCATTTATAATTTTTATAAATAACAAAATAATATTTGATTAATCTTAATAGGACTATTCACGATGTTATACATATATTTCACCCCTTAATATTTGAGCTTGTTTAATCTCTCTGAAATAAAAAAATTATCTATACACTTTTCTGTTATACCGAAATTGTTGCAACAGTATTTTTGACAACAGGTAACTTATGCAACATGTGCATTGTGCCAACATCCATCCATTACTTTGTATTGAATGATTTTATATTTTGATAATAATAATAAACAATATGATCCGGTTCAAATCTTCCTTCTGATCTACAGGCGATAGAAATGTTTATTTTTTTGAAGTAAGATTTTAAAACAAGACTGAACAAACAATGGGATTTATGTTTTTCTATTTTCCATTATCTTACTCATATGTCAGGTGTCATAAACAATCAGATTGGGATTTTATGATCCAGTTTAAATCTTCGTTTTGATCTATAGGTGACAGAAATGTTTTTTTCTTTGAAGTTTGATTTCAAATCAAACTGCACAAACAATTGGATTATATTATATTTTAATCTACTTAAAACAAGTAAAATCATTTGGGTCAACTTGACTAAGGGTTGAGTTGACCAAGGGTTGAGATGACTTGGGATCGAGTTGACTAAGGGTCGAGATGACTTAGGGTCGACTTGGCTAAGGGTCGACTTGACTTGGGGTCGACTTGACTAAGGGTTGAGTTGACTTGGGTTGAGTTGACTTGGGGTTGAGTTGACCAGTTACCTTATCAGCCACCTGATTAATAATTGCAGGGTGAAGAAAAAAGAAAGATTTAAATAAGGACTCAAGAGTGAAGTGAGTGGTGGCACACATTTGCACATTTTTCTAAAAATGATGCAATGAGCTTGAGAATTTTCAAAAAATTAGTGGATTTAGTTAAGTTTGAATCCCCATAAAGAAATAATTCTACTTTGTCCCTCTTGTGTTTAAATTGAGAATATTAACCAAAATTAAGAAAAGCTAAATTGTTTTCCAACTCTTCGAGGAATGGAATTGTTGAATGAATTGTTGTTTCATTCGCATGGCCACAATACAAGAAGGTGCGGGTGAAGTAACGTTTGTAAAATTGTGGGAGTATAGATGTGACTTAAAAATTAAGTCACAACAAACCTTGTTAAGTATAATTTCTTGATTTCTTGAAATATTAAATTCAGAGGATCAAATAATTGAATTGGATAACTCTTTCTTTGCCCTTGACTTAAATATACTTAAAATTTCAGCTTCTAGAAGGGGCTTTGAAAGGGTTTTCCAATCCATCATAATAAATTTAATAATAAATATAATGAATTATACCCATAAATGGCACTTTGGTACACAACTAGCAACAAAATATACAACAAAAACATGCAAATTGATAAATTGCTTTTTTTCTAAGTGCAAGAATACAAAAAATGAAATCACTGACCTAAAATCTTTATTTTCTTAAAATTGACTTTAATAATTAAACCTTCCAGTGTGAAAATAAAGAAAAATCCTGATCAGTTTTGGAGATAATACTGTCTCTTAAGCCCATACTTTTCTGTTTCATAACAATCAGAGTGTTTTCTAGGTTTAAGTAAAACACCATTGTAAAGTAATTTTTAGGCCTCTGGGTAAACCACCTTAATGCCATTTGGTTGGAGACAAATTAATAGAGAGATAATGAAAAGTCATTTTAAGAGACATTTTTCAGATTGTAAAATCTGATGGCGTTGTCTCTAAAAATCATTATTTTCTCCTGTTCAGAGAGATGTCCAAGAAGTGAGTTAGTTAATTCCAGCACACGGCCATGGTCTGAGCCTGCAAGTTTACAGACTGGCCAATCAGAGCCAAACATACAACGTGATGGTCCAAATATATCTAGTATATGCTGAAACGTAAGATAATTATATTAGATTTTATATGGTTTTAACCTTTATATAAGTCAGTGATCTCCCCAGCATTAAAACAAGTGGGTGCAACACCCACCTGAGATTTTAAAAACAGGCTTGCACCCACCTGAAAATCCATTTGCAACCACTTGAAAATGAGGAAAATCATGGAAAATTGGCTTACTTTGACCAATTTTGATCTGAATTGTGAAAATGAGAATTTTGCCCCCACTTCACAAAAAAACTACGATAAAATAACTAATAATTATAACAAAAGCATAATGATATCAGACCCTTTGTTGTAAGTTTTCAATCATCTTCAACCATTTAATATTGTAACCTGAGGCCAGTGTGTAATAGTTGTATAAAAAAAACCTTAGTTTATTTGTTGACAAAGCTGATTAAAAAATTATACAATTGTACTTGAAAATTCAAAGGGCCACCTTATAAATCATCCAACATGCCCAAAAATAGATATCTTGAATTTCAAAACCAGAAACTATTCCTGAACATCTGAAGATTCCTAAAATTGGGGCTGAATTTTGGTATGCCCACCTTTTGAAAACTAACAATAGCAGCAAAGGGTGTGAAAAATTAAATGATATTGACACTATATGTTATATCTTTTAAAGCATATCTACACGTATAAAGAAGCAATTAAAAGAAATAAGAAATAAAATAAAAATAAACAATAAATTTGTGAAAAAAGCATTGGGCTGAAAGGTGCTTTTACCTGAACATATGGCACAAAGTCTTCCTTCTTCCAATTTTCCTTGTCTGCTTCTGTTACCATACCAGATCTTAAACAAGATATACAAGATTATGTTTCATGTATGATTGAGTATACCAGATCTTAAACAAGATATACAAGATTGTGTTTCATGTATGATTGAGTATACCAGATCTAAAACAAGATATACAAGATTGTGTTTCATGTATGATTGAGTATACCAGATCTAAAACAAGATATACAAGATTATGTTTCATGTATGATTGAGCATACCAGATCTAAAACAAGATATACAAGATTATGTTTCATGAATGATTGAGCATACCAGATCTTAAACAAGATATACAAGATTATGTTTCATGTATGATTGATTATACCAGATCTAAAACAAGATATACAAGATTATGTTTCATGTATGATTGAGTATACCAGATCTAAAACAAGATATACAAGATTGTGTTTCATGTATGATTGAGTATACCAGATCTTAAACAAGATATACAAGATTATGTTTCATGTATGTTGAGTATACCAGATCTAAAACAAGATATACAAGATTGTGTTTCATGTATGATTAAGTATACCAGATCTAAAACAAGATATACAAGATTGTGTTTCATGTATGATTGAGTATACCAGATCTAAAACAAGGGTTATACAAGATTATGTTTCATGTATGATTGAGTATATCAGATCTAAAACAAGATATACAAGATTATGTTTCATGTATGATTGAGTATACCAGATCTAAAACAAGATATACAAGATTGTGTTTCATGTATGATTGAGTATACCAGATCTAAAACAAGATATACAAGATTATGTTTCATGTATGATTGAGTATACCAGATCTAAAACAAGATATACAAGATTATGTTTCATGTATGATTGAGTATACCAGATCTAAAACAAGATTACAAGATTGTGTTTCATGTATGATTGAGTATACCAGATCTAAAACAAGATATACAAGATTGAGTTTCATGTATGATTGGGTATACCAGATCTAAAACAAGATATTTAAGATTGTGTTTCATGTATGACTGAGAATACCAGATCTAAAACAAGATATACAAGATTATGTTTCATGTATGATTGAGTATACCAGATCTAAAACAAGATATAAAAGATTATGTTTCATGTATGATTGAGTATACCAGATCTAAAACAAGATATACAAGATTATGTTTCATGTATGATTGAGTATACCAGATCTAAAACAAGATATACAAGATTGTGTTTCATGTATGATTGAGTATACCAGATCTAAAACAAGATATACAAGATTATGTTTCATGTATGATTGAGTATACCAGATCTAAAACAAGATATAAAAGATTATGTTTCATGTATGATTGAGTATACCAGATCTAAAACAAGATATACAAGATTATGTTTCATGTATGATTGAGTATACCAGATCTAAAACAAGATATACAAGATTATGTTTCATGTATGATTGAGTATACCAGATCTAAAACAGGATGCACAAGATTATGTTTCATGTATGATTGAGTATACCAGATCTTAAACAAGATATACAAGATTGTGTTTCATGTATGATTGAGTATACCAGATCTAAAACAAGATATACAAGATTATGTTTCATGTATGTTGAGTATACAAGATCTAAAACAAGAACACAAATGTGTACAAAATGTCCCCACCAATGGGTGATCCCATCAAATGGTTATCCTGAAAATGAGTAGACAAGACTTTACCAACACAATTTTAATTGATCCGTCACACAGTTAACTAGTAAACAAGACTTTACAGACAAGATTTTAGGATGGAAAATCCAAAATGGCTGCCTTGACATTTATCCAGAATGCCAAAAAACTAATCAGATCTAGATTTTCATACTAAGAATCATCCCTAAAAATTTGAAATTGATCTACAGAACGGTTCACCAGGAAATGAATAGACAAGACTTTACAGACAAGATTTTAGGACAGAAAATCCAAAATGGCTGCCTTGACATTTACCCAGAATGCCAAAAAACAAATCAGATCTAGATTTTTATACTAAAAATCATCCCTGAAAATTTGAAACTGATCCACCATACGGTTCACCTGAAAACACGTAGACAAGACTTCACAGACAAGATTTTAGGACGGAAAAATCCAAAATGGCCGACAATAAAAAAGCGATTATGTGTTTTTGCTGATTTCTTCTTACAAAATTATCACATATTACTACTTTTAACAATAACATAGGCTTTTACAACAAAGTAGATCAGAAATTATTTATAAAGCTACTAAATAGTTAAAGTATGAAAACTCAAAAACACCATTCATAATATGACACAAAGTATTATCGTGCGCTAACTTTTCTTAAGACATTCAAAATGGCTGACATGACTGAGCTAACAGGTCCAAAACCTAATCAGATCTAGAATGAAGTGAGCTGAACAAGATGTTAAAGTTTTAAAAGCAACTGTGAAGCCGTTTTTCTTAAAGTTTGCAGACAAGGATTTTAGCATTTGACCTCAAAATGGCCGACAGGAAGTCGGTATCGAGTTAAAATTTTTTCATCCACATCTGTATGCACTCATAAGTTATCCCTGAAAATTTGAAGGTGATATCTGTAGCGGTTTTGGAGAAAACTCCCGGACGTACAGACAGACGGACGGACGGACGGACAGACAGACGGACGCGCCTAGGCCGACAATATGGCCCCACATTATGTGGTGGGGACATAACAAGATATACAAGATTATGTTTCATGTATGATTGAGTATACCAGATCTAAAACAAGATATACAAGATTATGTTTCATGTATGATTGAGTATACCAGATCTTAAACAAGATATACAAGATTGTGTTTCATGTATGATTGAGTATACCAGATCTAAAACAAGATATACAAGATTATGTTTCATGTATGATTGAGTATACCAGATCTAAAACAAGATATACAAGATTATGTTTCATGTATGATTGAGTATACCAGATCTTAAACAAGATATACAAGATTGTGTTTCATGTATGATTGAGTATACCAGATCTAAAACAAGATATACAAGATTGTGTTTCATGTATGATTGAGTATAGCAGATCTAAAACAAGATATACAAGATTATGTTTCATGTATGTTGAGTATACCAGATCTAAAACAAGATATACAAGATTATGTTTCATGTATGATTGAGTATACCAGATCTAAAACAAGATATACAAGATTATGTTTCATGTATGATTGAGTATACCAGATCTTAAACAAGATATACAAGATTATGTTTCATGTATGATTGAGTATACCAGATCTAAAACAAGATATACTAGAAAAACAGCAACTCCACGGAGTAGCAAATCCCACCGAACAAAACAAATTATGCTTATTATAGCTAGTGTAAATGTTGAAATGTTTGTGCACTTTGTGACAGAAGCATGAAATTTGGCACAAAGTTAGTTTATACCATTGTGAACTGGTGAACTAGGCATCATCATATAAAATTTGAACCAAATCCGTTCACTGGTATATGAATTATCAAAGATTACGTTTTTTACGAAAATTGGCCGCCATCTTGAAATTCAGCCGCCATCTTGAAAATTATTTCTTGAACAGAGCTACTGTGTCCCTAGGCATAATCATATAAAATTTCAACCAAATCTGTTCACTGGTATTTGAGTTATCAAAGATTACGTTTTTTATGAAAAATTGCCGCCATTTTGAAATTAAGAGGCCATCTTGAAAATATTTTGTCGAACATAGTTACTGTGTCCCTAAGCATCATCATGTAAAATTTGAACCAAATCCGTTCACTGGTATTTGAGTTATCAAAGATTACATATTTTTAAGAAAAATGGCCGCCATTTTAAAATTAAGCGGCCATCTTGAAAATCTCTTTTAGTGTGAAACTTCTTTGTCCCTAGGCATCAGCATATAAAATTTGAACCAAATCCGTCAACTTGTATTTGAGCTATCAACGATTACATTTTTTACGAAAAATGGCGGCCATTTTGAATTGAGTAGCCGTATTGAAAATTTCCTTCTCGAGCAGATGTCCTACACTCATAAGGCATAAGCCTATTAAATCTGAACCAATTCCGTCAACCAGTATTGGAGTTATCGCCCGGACACACGGACGGACAGACGGCGGACGGACAGACGGACGGACAAACGGACGGACGGCTTCTCTATATCCCCCTCGAACTTCGTTCGGTGGGATAACAAGATTGTTTTTCATGTATGATTGAGTATACCAGATCTAAAACAAGATATACAAGATTATGTTTCATGTATGATTGAGTATACCAGATCTAAAACAAGATATATAAGATTGTGTTTCATGTATGATTGAGTATACCAGATCTTAAACAAGATATACAAGATTATGTTTCATGTATGATTGAGTATACCAGATCTAAAACAAGATATATAAGATTGTGTTTCATGTATAATTGAGTATACCAGATCTAAAACAAGATATACAAGATTATGTTTCATGTATGATTGAGTATACCAGATCTTAAACAAGATATACAAGATTATGTTTCATGTATGATTGAGTATACCAGATCTAAAACAAGATATACAAGATTATGTTTCATGTATGATTGAGTATACCAGATCTTAAACAAGATATACAAGATTATGTTTCATGTATGATTGAGTATACCAGATCTAAAACAAGATATACAAGATTATGTTTCATGTATGATTGAGTATACCAGATCTTAAACAAGATATACAAGATTATGTTTCATGTATGATTGAGCATACCAGATCTAAAACAAAATATACAAGATTATGTTTCATGTATGATTGAGCATACCAGATCTAAAACAAAATATACAAGATTGTGTTTCATGTATGATTGAGTATGACGGGACATTCACATTTACTTAGCTTTAAGTAATAAGTGCAATTTTTAAATCTTCAAAAAGGGTAGAAATCAGGCCAAATCATTTCAAAAACACCAGAATATTACCTACTTGTAATTTCAAATTGTAAAAATTGTAACAGATGCCAAATATAGATGTTGATACGTACCAATACGAAATACAGAATATCACAAAACAATTGTTTATATAAAAATACATATACACCACAAAGTGTTGACTTAA